AAAATCTTTTCTTCTAAATTCATAGCATTTAAACTTTGCTTCGTCATCAATATTCCGCTAACATCGATTTTACTTTACTTCTGAAGAAAAGACAAACATTATACTTGTTTCCAACATAGGAATTTTCAATAATATTGGCTTAATCTAGAAGATCATTACTGCTTCTTTCCAAACATAGAACACCTTTAAATTTGTCTTTGTTCTAGATAAGAGAAAATTGTTTTTAGCTTTGGAAATATATTTCGACATATATCGATGACATTGTTCAAATCTTTCTAGATGGTGCTACTGATTTCTCAAAGAAAACGGACGCGTTGACTAGCAATGGAAGCAGAACCATTTCTCTTATGAGAAGAAAGTAATGAAGTTATAGCCTGTCTCATTTCAGTATCTGATGGACGAACAAGGGCATCAGGATATTTCGTCCGTAACATTTCTCTCATTCGGGATGGACGCGTTGACTAGCAATGGAAGCAGAACCATTTCTCTTATGAGAAGAAAGTAATGAAGTTATAGCCTGTCTCATTTCAGTATCTGATGGACGAACAAGGGCATCAGGATATTTCGTCCGTAACATTTCTCTCATTCGGGATGGATCAAAAAAGCCTGAAATAGTGCTGGATATCATTTCTTCGATATCGGAGTCTAATCCTACTATCAAATAATCGAAATGCTTGGATTTTGGAGGAAGTGAAGCAAAAGTACTGGCATATGCAACAAAAAGACTACACTGTAATATTTAGATACTGATCACTAGATAAAGTTTAAGATATCTAGTATGAAGCAAAAATTTATAAAATCAAGTACCAATGCATCGTGAACATGCCTCAATGCTGATGCAGTGAACACTTTTGGTTGATTCTACAATACGTTTAACCATTTTACATTGTTCTTTGGCTTTTGGAATATCCTAAAATGGTATGTTACGTTGACGACATTTTACCTTTTACGTCACACTTCCATAACTTCTTGAATAAAAATCCGATTTCAAATCCAAAGGTTGCTCCATAGGTCTTACAAACAGATGCGTCGATTCCACCTATCTTTTACGGATCGACCGCGATGCAGTTTCAAGCATTTAGAAAACTTCGTATAATTTTAAAAAATATATAAACCCCTGGGACGTAGAATGCGTTGAAAAAAGATTTAGATTATATAAACAAAAATATATATTTTGACTAAAATTTTAAATTATGATAGTGACAAGTAAAAATAAAATTACAAAAATATATATACGAACTATCACTTTAAGAACAGCTGGGTGATAACTAGTATTTGCTGATAAATTAATCTACGCCTCATTAATCGACTACATTTGACTGGTGCAGAGTTCTTCAAACCAAGGCATGTACGTACAATTAAAACAAAAAAGATTTGGCAGTGGATGCTACCAGACAGTTGCTTGCTCTGCAGTTCAAAATTAGCGGCAGTGATAAATAGCCTTACTATAACAAAGAAAGGGTGAGTAAATTTGGTGACAGTGAGAATCGAATGGGAGACCCTCTCCATCGAATCACCAAAGCTGAACAAACATGAAGTGAAAATAACAATTTATAAGGCTGAGATCGGCAAATCACAGATAGCGCTAAACAACAAACAATCACACCACCAGTATTTCGATTACTTGAATATATACAAAAAATTAAAAATTGAAATAAATATTTATCGGAAACCCTAATTTCGATTAGATAATTCTTTTTGTAACGATGGATATAATTGGAATTTCAATTAATCAATTTTGCAATAATCGAAAACACTAATTTCAATTAATTGATTAGTTTACGTGACACTTATCGATGCTATCGCTATTCATAAAATCACTCGACTCTAAATTTAATATTGATCGTTTTTGCCTAATGGCCTTACCACCTATCCTTATACTACCAAGAAAACTGGTATTAAATGTTCTCAGACTTTATTGGAATAATTCCACCATCAACTTTCAAGAGTTTTTCAAAACCCGCCTCTGAGATTCTAGTTTGCACAACAACAAAAAATACTATTTAACATTTTAAAATTTACCTTGATTGTTTGTGAAGATACTGGAGATACCAACTGTACCCAAACTTACTATGTACTCGTGTCTTTCCTATACTGGCAAACAAAGCTTAAATTTAAAAAATCAACTTAAACGCATACTTGGTCGTTACTACCCTCAAGTGGATTTCAGATTAGTTTTTAAATCCACATCACGCATAAAAAACGTTTCCCTACCAAAGATCTTCTTCCCATTCCTCATTGTTCCTGGCTTGTCTATCTTTACACGTGTGGAGACTGTAAGGCCTCCTATATTGCCAAAACCAAACGCCATTTAAAAGTCAGAACCTATGGGAATTTCCATCAAAACGCAAAAATAAATTGAGTAACCCCCGTGTTTCCTCTATACGCTAACATAGTGAAGAAGCAGGACATCAACCTATACTATCAAATTTTTCTATCCTCTGCAAATCTAATACTGACCTGGAATTATTGATTAACGTCAAACTGCACTCTCCAACGCTGAAAAACATCCAGTCTTCATTTAAATTATACATTTTTTAATATGTTCGTATTACTGATTTTACTTTTTTTGTTGCGTTTTCTTGCTGTAGTTTCTCGCCATAATTATTG